AAAACATCCAGGTGTGAGAAAATAGCTATAATGATGCCCTGAACTCGAGCCGAGGGCGTCCACAAATATTAATAATTCGAGAGAAGATCGAGAGTTTTTATCGCTTGAAATAACGTTGGAGGGGCAAAGGAGTCTGGTAGGACTCTTTTCGGAGTATTGAAGATCGTTTCCCCGGCATCGTTGGACAACACGGAACGTGCGCGATTTAGACACGATGAGCAGGGGGGTTTTAGTGGAGCACGCGCGTGAGCTGCGAGTGCCGGAGCCTCGCGAAACTGAGGCTCCGTGGTAAACTGTGGTAACATGAAGAGCCGTTTGGGAGCCGAAACAGCCGGCGCTTTAAGAGAGCCGAGCCGATCCGGCTCACTAAAGTAAAAAGACAGTATAAAGGGACGGCTCAAGTCAACCCCCCCCCCCCCATCACAACCGCTCAAACCAACTACAAACTACTACCACGGATTGGGCAGAGAAGGAGTCAGAGAAAGTTGCTCCCCCATGTGACGTAATATGACGCGTTTGATATTAAAAAAAAAAAGCAGTTTTTAGAAGCAGAGCTCAAAACGGCTCCTTTCCCTCTGGATTCTTGCCCTTATGTCTCGTAAAACATATAAAATCCTGTATTAACTTTTTTAATTGTAATTTTCAGGCAAGGTTAAGCATAAATCTAGTAAAAAAAAAAAAAAAAATCTGCAAGTTGCTCTTTAAAGTACCAAAAGTTAAAAATACCCGCTATGCAAATTGTCCCTAAAGCCTGATTTAAGTGTTGAATATAATTCAAATCATTAATCAACATTTGAAAAGTTACTAACGGTATTACAATATTTACCTCTGAATTGTAGTGGAGTAGAAGTTCAAAGTAGCATAACCTTCTCTTAAAATTGTACATAAGCACAATACTTGAGTAAATGCACTTAGTTAGTTTACACCACTGCACATTTGCCTACGAGTGTTTACAGTATTATAGTACAATGCCAAGGGCACACGTTTCTGTCAGACTTTTATGCGGGCTTACTACATTGGTGACACTGAGCACTTTTTTGTGTCAATCCTAAAAGTAAATATGGACCATAATCCCAGATCAAATGCATGATGAGAGGTCCTGAATATGTTGTCTACAGTGATTGTAATGTTATTTTAAATGTCTGTGTTTGTTACAATTGTTATAATTTCATATGTTTTGGTGTTGCAAATGGAGCTGCTGTGATGCAGGTAAAATGTCAGACTATTTCTAAAAAAGTGGTATCTATATAATGTCTGTCTTAGGTGATCTGACGGGACACATGCTGGCCTACATCAGTCTCTTACCCATAGCAGTCCTTGTGGGTTTTGTCACACTCATAGTGTTTAAACGGGAGCTGCACACGGTGAGTTCTGCACATGCACTTTTAGCACCACTTTAAAAATAGTTTTGTCACACTGTTAATTGTCTCAAAGGACCCTGAAGTATGGCGTCAGGCAGGCCAGAAATGTGTAAGCACTCAAGTGGTGAACTTCTTTTTATTTTTTACAGATTTCCTTCTTCGGTGGGCTCATCCTGAATGAAGTGGTGAACTGGGTGCTGAAGCACATTTTCAGAGAGCCGCGCCCATGTGCAGGTGAAGTGAAGGAACAAGCTGCTGACTTTATGTTTGGTGATCAGCGCTGAGCATCACTGCAAAATCATAAATCAATTGTGAAATTAGTTCCATGTCAAAGAAAACAATCTCTCTGGCATTCAAAACAATTCAAATCCAGTCTATGCAAATATTCATCAAATGGATTAAATTGTGTCCAACCAGCAACCTTATATATTTGTATAAAGTTAAAGAGTAAGAGACGCACACTTAAGCTTCAACTTGGGTGTTTTGTTTATATGTAATTGTGGTCCATATTGAAAATGTGTTTTTTTTTTTTTTTCAGGAGCTCACAAAACCCTGCACACAGAGTATGGGATGCCCTCCAGTCATTCCCAGCTAATGTGGTTCTTTGTCGTTTACTTCTTTCTTTTCCTTTATTTAAGGTGAGTTTTGTCGTTGTATTTGGAGAGCTTTAAAGGGTCGAAACATGAAGCTGCGAAAGTTTAGCAACTTGCTAATATAATGTTCATGTCCCAAATCTCTTTTTTTTTGTTAATTTCTACAATTGAAGAATTCCATTAAGGTTAATAGCTAAAAAAAAAATAGATCTAGACAATAATAACTTTATGTTGGCAACTCTGTTTAAAAATGGTGTCATGAATGCATGCATTGTATAAGTGTTTGATGAAATCATATTCGTGTGAATAAAGTGTGTTTATAAGCATGTGTTATTATCATGTTTATTCCAGCAGGGCATGTATTTCATTATCTCGTTTTTGATTATCACTCATTAGGTGCGTTCCATGAGGTTGTGGTTCGGTGAGAACTCATGCTGATTTCTTTTTTTCCAGAATGCATCAAACGAACAATGCTCGCTGTGTGGACCTGCTGTGGAGACACATTCTGTCCATCATCCTGTTGGGCACAGCCTTATCAGTCTCGTACAGCAGGTAGGGCTGCAAGTCATTTTTAATATCAACTGAACTGACAATTATTTTCTTGTCTATAAAAAAAAAAACGAAAAATATTCCTGATATTTTGTTTTACCAAATGTCCAAAAACCCAAATATTTTCTATTTGCCACCAAAAAAAACCTGTTAATTATTAATGGGTTATCCAAATTCATGTAAAGGTCTACTGTGAAGTGTGAATTCAGTAAATGTTTTTTTTAAGCTTTAAAAATCTATGAAGCTCGTGAAACTATGGCATTGGTGGACAAGAACATTTATATTATGGTTTCTGTGTTATACTTTGACTTAAAAGCAAAATGGTGCTATTTCCTGTCTAAATATTTCTATAACTAAGTGTGAAACTATTTAAAGTGCATGCTGCTAGACTTAGTTTAACAATCAAGACACAATTTGTATTTTCCTGAACATTATTTTTCTCCTCCTCAGGGTCTACCTGTTGTATCACTCCTGGAGCCAGGTTTTCTATGGCGGAGTGGCTGGTTGTACAATTGGCATAATGTGGTTCTTTTTCACACAAGAGATGCTGACACCATTGTTCCCCAAAATAGCAGCCTGGTGAGTAGTGCTCTCATTTCTCTCTGCCTCCTTCTTCTGTCACAGGGGAAGACGATTCGTCTGCAGCCTGAATAACTAGATAAAACCGGTCTGTTCATTTGTTCTCTCCCAATTTGTAGGCCAATATCAGAGTACTTCCTGGTGCGAGACACAAGTCTGATCCCCAACATCTTATGGTTTGAGTATACAGTGACCAGATCCGAGGCAAGGTAAGATCATTAAGAACACTCTACACCACATCAGCACCATTTAGGCCTGATCACAATTAAAAGTAGCACACCAGCCTTCACCTGTGTACACATTTTGAAGTCCCCTAAATCTTCCAAATTGACACAAAGAAATCAGCCCACAGACAATACAAATATTGGCGCTTTCTGTTTAAAACTGCCATTTTTGATCATGAAAATGTCAGAAATTAACTCGGCATCCTCAATTACCCCCAAAACCATTACCAAATTGGCCAAGCCATTTTTTAACTATTGTCCCCATCGGCTTTAATGCCAATTGTGCAAATTCCCCAACATAGGCAAATTTAGCATCCGGCAGTTTCTATTTGCTGGGGACCCGTACTGTACATTTCTATCATAAAACCTTTCCGGGTTCACAATAAAACTCTGAGCAGGCAACTAGACTATTTAAATGCAGGGCTACATTTTACCACTAGTTAGTCACAATCACTTCCAGAGCTTCTTTATTTTTTCTCTGAACTGTACCTTTATCTCCCCTGATATTGTGTTCCCAAAATGGTACATCGTTTATTGATTGGAAACCGGTGTAATAGGTAGAAGAGGGGGGAACACTTTCCAAGCTAGCTAGTCTGTTTTCGGTTACTTAGCAAGGTTGTTAGCTCATTTGCTAACAAGATGCTCCCAGTTTATTTAAAAAAAGTATTTGTACCACCTATGAACTGTCTGTAATTTGTTTGTCATTAATATAGCAGTTTATTCATACGCAGAGGAGGTTAAATAAGAAGTCAATAAGCTGCATTAGCTTTCCTCAGTTTAGACCCGTTAAGTTCACCAGATGCACTTTTTTTGCAAAACTTTGTGTGGGTATAGCTTGTCCCTGTTGGCAAATGCACTGTATGCTGCGATTCCATTGATATAAATCCAATAACTGTCTTTTTAAAATTAGATTTGACCATGCCTTAAATATGTTTGAGGCTGTTGCATTGGTTTTGTGACTCGATCCTTTTTTTGTTTTTGATTCACTGTAGGAACAGACAACGAAAGCTTGGAACAAAACTTCAGTGATCTGCACAGCTCCTCTTGAAACTTGATTTTAGGACCACATACACAAATACACACTCGTACACACACACAAACAAAATGCTCGCTCGACAGAAACACACTGGACTGACGTGGTTACGAGGAGAAAAGGGTGGAAAGCTTTTCCGGGCGGCGACAGTTCCTGGAGTCCGTCCACAAACGCTTCCTTGTACAGCTTGCCCCCAAAATGCTCCTCAATGCATGCAAGACTGTGCAAGAGGCATACTATTTAATGATAGATTAATATATATATTTTAACTATAAACGCACGCTGACAGTAACTGTGTACTGTAAGAGATTCAAGGATTAAAACAACAAACAGGGGGACATAGATTCAATTCGGTGGGCGTCATCGCAGCATGTATTTAGTGATTTCTTTTTTATATTCGGATGTATAGCAGCTGGGGAGGGGGGTGGTTATGGCTAGGTTGGGAGTATGTGGAATTAACCATTTTTCATTGTTATATAATAAAAAATGAGAAATTTCAAAAAATTGGTTATGATGTAATATAAATAAAAATGTGCACTTTGTGAAATTTACAGTTAAGAAAACCCCTGACTAACACTAGTTATATGTTAAGACCCTCCCCCTCTTTTCCCTCCTCAGTCTTTGCTTTGTGTCTATGACTCCAAAGCTGATCTGCAAGCCGCGTACATTTCCTTTGTACTATTGAGCATCAAGGTTTGTGCTTTCTATTCATATCCACGTGTGAGGACTATGAGACTGATTCACAGCGCTTCAGTTCTGTTTCCTTTGTCCAACACTTCTGGACTGAGGTGGAGTTTTGTATCTAAACGCCTCGCACACAGTAGCAGCCTGGAAACAGGATTTCCTTTTTTTTATTCCGTCAGTTTCTTATCTCCTTTTCTTTTTACCTGCATTTCCAAGATTACATTCCATATCATTTAGTGAGAAAACATTCATAAAGACTGCTGAGGGGATATGTTTTCTTTTTGTATTATTTTTAAAGAAAGGAGTTAAAAAAAAAGAAGCCTCAGGTCAGTCGTAGCATGTGATTATGCTTCAATCCTCACAGCTCACGGCAGCTAACGTTGGCAGCTGTCATGTGGGGACAGAAGCTGATTTAAAACTGTCATATCATTAGCTCCGCAAAGGGAAGTAGTTCTCTTAGTTTGGTTTGTTTTTTTCATGTGTAACCTATATCGGGCTGAATAAAAATGTGTTTATGTACAAGAGATGGTTCATGTCTCGTGCTTTGAAATACAGTGGTATCTTTTCAAATGCTATTTATCTTTTGAGAGTGTTTTCTGTTGAGCAAATGTGGCACTTTATCAGATGTACTGATGGTGGACTGGCTGTGTGCATCAGTATCATTCAGTTTGATGGCAGCAGGGCTGTAATCCCATCAGTGTCTCAGTTCTGCTCCATTACCCACTCCCAAAGTGAGGATGGAGATCAAATGTAGTGATAGAATAGTGATGGAACGATTTTCATCTGGCACCTGTCACCGCCTTTTTAGGAATATCACAGCAGTGCAATATAAGCATTTAACGCATTAAAAGCTTGCAAAAAGATATCAACAAAGAGCAGTACAAATGTTTTCTGATTGTTTGTAACATTTGATAAGAAGCACTGGAGAAAGTTTAGCTGAGACTGATGGGATGCCATTTGTTTTTGACGGATTTGAGTAATTAATATAAGTAATACAAATGTATATTTTTCTGATATCTGATAACGCAATGGTGTAACGTAATCAAAAATATCTCCATGCTTACATAGGGGGGGATTGAGTGTTTACACCACATTTTATGAGAACCTGTACAATAATTGTCTACAAAGAAATGCAAAATAGCTGCAAACGTTTGGCATTGCCACAATGCAAGCAAGGCTAAAACAAAATGTCATTTTAGACTGCAAAATAGATTTGATGCACTTAAAAAGCATACAATGCAACACTTTGTGCCCAATAGAAATGTCCTGATGTGATCTAAGGTAGATAACATAAATGTGCATAATCCATATAATCCTAATTGTTATGGAAAATGTGCAAAAAATATAACACAAATATAGCCTTATTTGTCAGAGAGGGACTATCTCTTTATGGGCTAATCTTGTTGACAAAGAAAACATGTTCCTGAGTTCACTACGAATAAACTCTGCATTCTCTCTGAGCTGAACACTGCTGGAGGAAAATACTTCAGGCCGCTCCTACAGAAACATCTGCCCTATTTAAACGACCTATTCCATTTTTGATCCACTTTTCAGGTCTAACCTCAGGCTATCCCCAAACACCCGCCGGGAACGGCCGTAGCCTAGATAAGAAATGAGAAAGACCTCAACCTATTTCCGTTTCTCTCGGACCTGCACTGTGAAACCTTCTTTGGAAGAGATGGTTGGAGCTGGTGGTCAGATGTGTGTTTACTGGCAGATTTGTAATCCTTATCTCTCACTGTTATACAAACAGAAAGGTTATAGCCTACTGTAGTGCCGAGAGATAGGGAGTCAGAGGCGGTGCAAGGAAGGTGCAAAAGAGAGCGAAGTCAGGAGGGCAGACAACATAAGTAAACACATAACATGTCCGTGTGGGAACAATACCCCCAACTGTAGTTCCATGTATGAATTATGTCCCAGTGTATTAATAGGTGGTCATCACACAAGGCCCCCCCAGAATTCCAACATGGCAACAAAAAAAATCCTCGCGCCCGGGAGGAAGCACCACAGGGGCCGAGGAGGGTGGTGTCGCAGGTGAGGGCCAGGTCATGGAACGGGCCGACGAAAGGGGGGCCGCAGGAGGCGTCATGGCAAACGAAGAACACCTCCACCAGACGTAGAAAACCGGGTCGCTGTGCTGCGACGTGGGAACGGGCGTCAACAACCCGGTGGTCCCCAGCAGGAAAGAGCGCTGCCCGGCCGCAGGTGAAGGCACAGCGGTGGCGGGCATGAAATCTCCGGAAGGACGGAGCGGAATACCAGGAAGGCAGGATCAGTCTCCCCGGGAGGAAGGAGCGCAACCCGGCCGCAGGCAGACACACAACGGCGGCGGGCACGAAGTCCTCGGCAGGCGTCGAGGTATCCCCGGAAGACAAGAGCCGTCTCCCTGGGAGGAAGGAGCGCAACCCGGCCGCAGGCAGACGCGCAGCGGCGGCGGCGGGCACGAAGTCCTAAGCAGGCGTTGAGGTATCCCCGGGAAGCAGGAGAGGCAAGACAGGTTCCGGAGCGCGCCACCCACGGACCAATGGCAGCATGGGCGACGTCCGAAACCGTCGAGGCGAGACGGGGTCCAGGAGGGCGCCTCGCTACCCAGAAGCCGATGAAAACGTGAGTGGCGTTTGGAACCGCCGTCGAGGTGGTGAAAAAGATGAGTGTCCACACGAGGTCAACCGGCTGGTCGAACCTCCTCTCCGTCACCGGAAAAAATAGTTAAGTCAGATGTTAACAGAAATATGTCGACGGCAGTTAACAGCTAGCCGTTAGCCGCTAGCTGGCAGCCACGGTAGCTGCTAGCCGCCGTTAGCCCCACGTGGTTAGCCGCTAGTCGTTGTCAGCTAGCGCAGCCGGGACGTGCAGCTGCACTTGAAGAAACAAGCCCACGAGGTAGCAATCGGTTTGCTGGTCGACCCAGCAGGTCGTGCATCGTCCCCCTGTTGGATGTAACGGCCCGTCTACACAGCAGCGTTAAAAAATCTTCCAACGCTTCTGCCCATTCACTTTGAATGGGGCGACGTCACGTTGCCTCGCTTTTCGCCTAACTGCATTGTGGGGAAGCAAAGCGAAGATTTCCAGGATTTTCAGGATTCTCAGGATTCAAAAGTTAGAGCAATGTTCAATTTTTGAAGCTGAGGTCGAAGCGTCAGCCAATCAAATCCCGTTTATGCAAATCTGACAGTACAAGCGCTAGCCAATCAAACCGCGTGTAAGCTGAGAGAGACAGACCGCAGTTAATTTCCTCATATTCCAAACGAGAAATTACGGTAGCAAATCACCCGGTTCTTTACGACCAGTAACTATTTACCGGGATACAAACCGGAGGAACCAGGCATGGAGGGAGGTGGCAGAGACAGTGGGTGAAACTGGTAGGTTTTCGCCTGTTTGGGGAGTTTTATATATATATATATTGCTCGCATAAAATCCCCGGGGTTTTTTGCTTCGTATGTCGGGGGCGGGATATTCATGAGATTGGTTGTTGGTCGCGTTGCTCTCAAAAAATCCCCAAGCTTTCAGACACGCCCACCTCCAACATTTTCAAGATTTTTTTTAACGCTGCTGTGTGGACGGGCCGTGAGAGTGCCTTTCTTATTCTATGTTACGATACAATAATACTTTAATGACAGATCTGAGATGTTTCACAGGAGCTCCATTTGCAACATCAACAATGACAAATATTAAGACAAGAAACATGAGATACACATTCATACAGGAGTGGTGCAGGAATGAGTCGGTTCCCTCGTCTCAAAGTCATGTTTTTTTAAATGTGTTTGCATTCAGCAGCCTGAGTAAGGTGTGTGGTTAACACAAGCTGCATACATGCTCACAAGACTACTTTTTATAATAAAACACTGACACCAAAAACTTGTCTTTGTCACTTTTATGTGCCACATATAATGTTAAAACAGTCAGAGGGTTCAAACAGGATGACCTTGAACAGATGACACACTGCTTTCAGTTTGAGCTTGCATTTAAAATGAGACGAGCAGCTAATAATTAATAATTATAAAACAATGATGAGACTGTAGTCACACAATCCTCCTTGTTATGTTCATGATTTTCTGTGGAAATCTAATTCTCTACGTACAACGTGTTTGAACGCTCTAAAATCTAAAATGTTTTATTTTGTAATCCATAGAAAACAAGAAATTCAGAATTAAAAACAGAAAAATAAAGCAGGTCATGAAATAAATAAAACACTTGAATGTCAGACTGATGTAAGCGGCATGTCCTCAGAAAGAGGGCACAGCCATGTTTTACAGCACTCTCCCTCCTCCATCTCTCTCTCTCTCAAAGAAATATGTTCAGACCAAAAGTACTTTGAGCAACATGACAGATCATCGAGTCACACACACACACACACACACACACGTGCACACACACACACGCTGAATGGAGTCACAAATCCATGCAAAGAGCGTGGACATGGAAAACTAAAGTGCCGGAATAGAACATTCTGTTATTCCAAGAACACTTTAGAAGCTACATGTGGGCGAGAGCACAGTGAACAGTTTCCAATTTTTACACACACACACACACACACACACACACACACACACACACACACACACACACACACACACACACACACAGGTGGGTACGCACTGACACAAACCAGGAGTGATGGAAAGTAGCTAAGTACGTCTGTTCAATACTTCATTATCTTATGCACAATAAGTACTATTACTTTAAGTTTATTTTGATGCCAATACTTTTGTACTTTAACTTATGTAACATTTGTAATGTCTTTTACTTGTGTAACAGAGTACATTTACTTTTACTTAGTTAAAGATTTGAGTACTTCTTCCAACACTGCGCACCAGGCAGATGGATATGAATTCAAAGGGGCCCGTTTATGGTTTTTTGGGTTGTCCTTTCCTGTAGTGTGTTATATGTTATATAGCCCCTTAAAATCTCGATTAAAAGTAAAACTACAAAAATGTTATCATCAAAATATACTTGGTAAGTACTGAGTACTATTTCTGCAGAAAGGCCCATATCAATATAGTATAAAGAAACATATTGTTAGCTTAATGTACTCGTGTACTGTATCAACGGATAAGTAGTTGTATGTTATGCACTTTTTCACAGTGTTATATTATCGTGGTTATTATATCATCCTTTTTAACCACTGAAACATCTAACAACATTTGAATGTTGTAATGTGGAGACCATTTTATGTATTTCAGAAAATAACATTGATCAGTTGTTAAGTAACACATGTAATGATATATGTTTTAATATGTAAAATAAATCAGTAGCTATAAGTGTTGGGGATTAAAACAAACAATATCTGCCTCTGAAATGAAGTGGAGTAGAAGTTTAAAGAAGCATAAATTGGAAACACTCAAGAAGAGTACAAGCTAGGGCTGAACGATTAATCGATTTTAAATCAAAATCGTGATTTGAAATGAGGCGATTATCAAATCGCAAAGCCTGCGATTTTTATTTTTATTTTTTACAATTTTATTTTTTTCTTCTTGTGTGTCAGTCATCCACACCAATCAGAAGTGCTGTGCTCCACATGTACCAGCCATTGTTAATCAATCAGAAGTGGCCCATGATAGAAGGTGATAGACAGATTGATCCAATCACCTGCCAAGTGCTTTTGAAAGTGCCTGCCTTTTCCAAATGGCTTCCAATGGAGCTTTCCTAGATGGTTTGGTGAAACAAACCACCTGAGTCAGGTTAGTAATGCTCCATCACATGTGTTACATCTATTACAGGGTGAATCTTAAACTGAAGCTTGACTTTAAAGCAACCCAACGGAAGTTTCATGTAAGTTTAGTTCTTTCACTCGTAGCTCGGGCTGCGGGGGTGCTAGAGACGGGAGCATGTTGATACGACCTACCTAGCCGGAGTTATGGCCGCATTTTACAATAAACTTCCGTTGGGTCGCTTAAAAACAAATATCGCAATTCGAATCGCAATCTTAATATTTGTCAGAAAAATCGCAATTAGATTTTTTCCCAAAATCGTGCAGCCCTAAAGCATGTAAAAAGTACGGTTCTTGAGTAAATGTACTTAGTTACTTTGCCTTCACACAGGTACACCCACACCTGCACGAACACACACTAGTTTTGATACTCACAGGCAAACTCATTCATAAGTCTGGTCTTGCGTGCAGAGAGACAGTTTGAGTTTGTGAGCGCTCAGCAGGGTTGAGTGGTTGTTGTTTTTCTTTTCCAGGGTTTGTGGCTTAAGATGATCAAAAATGAACGGAGTCTAAGACGAGACAGGATGAGAGGGGAGACTCTGAGCTTCTCCTTGTGTGCGTGTGAGAGAGAGAGAGAGAGAGAGAGAGAGAGAGAGAGAGAGAGAGAGNTTCGAATGCATATGACGGACCACAACCATATAATTATGAGCCTGCTAGGCTCTCCGATGGCCGTTATTTCTTCTAATCCTTGGCTCCTGGTCTCTTGGACGCCTAGCAGGCTCATAATTATATGGTTGTGGTCCGTCATATGCATTCGAATATTTATTTTCAACCTCTTCTGTGTCAAAACTAGCATTGGGATCCATGTTTATTACTACGTTAGACCGGCCGCTCTCCCACATGTTACGTCACACGCGGGAAGGCTTTTTTTATGCGGAAGCAAAAATGTCTTACAAAAACGAAGCCAGATGTCACTGTAGTCGTGTATATTTATGTATATTTTATGGACAATCTAGTGCATACATAATTTTCCTACACATTTATTCACTGGTGTCTCTGACCTGCAAGTTGCTCTTTAAGTATATTTTTACTTGAGTGACATTTTGATTGCAGTTATTTTACTTGTAACACTCAGGTATTTCTGCCTTTATTTAAGTACAAGATCTGAGTACTGCAAATGTGTCTACTCGGCCCAAAAACCTGGCGAGAGTCAAATATCTACGTTGCACTTTTGCAGACGGATTCAGTGTTGTTTAAAGATGTTAAAGTTTATAAACCCCAGTAAAGTCGCATAACAGTGGGAGTGACACTTAGGGACTCAGTGAACCCGGATGGTTGAAATATTTAGCATTAGGAAGCTGCTGTGGCTAAAAAGTAAAACCACCATTTAGATAACTAACACACCACATTATTTTACGTTGTTATTTCAGACATCTCTGTGCAACGTGGTTAATGCTAGCTAATTTACTAATCTGTATGAGGCCAAAGAGCTAGCTCCATTAGCCGCACGAAATAGCTAGTTATTCCCACTACAGTGAGTCATTATATTTTAGTGTTCAGTATGCTTGAATTGTGCGAAATAATTCCTGCAGCACGCGGAATATTCGCTTAATGGTGAGCAAATATATGAAGACCGATATTACGGCAGCTAACAGGCTAGCTAGCCTTCATTGTGGACATTAACTCCGACTGCGCATGCGTCGCTGTCTCACAATTCAGCAGTCCGGGGCTATATTCCCCGCTGGGCTCGACGTTCTACACTGTCTCACTATTTGGCAGTATCACCAACGGCCGTGTTCATTCAGCAGCGCGAAAACACACGAAAATTATAAAAATTCGCAGTGGTTAACATCCTCATTAGTTAAAGAAATATGTTTGGTTTACGTACCTTCCGGGAACTCTACGTGTGTCAGAGATATGGACCGCCATTGAGGTGGTGCCGAGCACTGCTCTTCCAACGCCATCTTACCCGGACACAACCGGGCAAAGTGAAGAAACGCCCCAGACACGTGTCGCACCAATCCGGGAGCGGAGCTCTGAGTCCCCGGCAGAGGAGCCGTCGTCCAATCCCCGCAGATCACCGGAGAGAAGATATTTTACCCACAGAGAAGAATTATTGAATGAAACTAAAAAAAACACAATAGTCCAGCACTTCATGTAAGGTAACTGTACTCATTCAGAAAAAACAAATAATTATCGAGCTACTAATTTAATATATAGGTCTATAGGCTATGTTTATATTTGTATTCTTTATTTGGAGTCACATAGTAATCATAATACAGTTTGATCGACAGATAATTATATTGAGTGACCCAAAAATAGCAAATTAAATTACAAACAGTTAGTACAAATAAATAATAATTAATTGAATATATAGCAAATGTGCCTACTTGTAACCCTATAGGTTTTCTTTATTTAAGCAGGTTAATTGAGATTACAATCTTTCTCAAGAGGGCAGCATATCGCAAACACCACAAACAGACAATAATAAGATAAGATGTACTTTATTGATCCCAAATTGGAAAATGTTTTCGTTGCAGCACCATGTCAAAGCAGGGCATTGTACAGCATAATAACGGCTGTTAGCCCACATTCATTAAAGGGGATTTTTGCAAGTAAATATATGCATGTAGGATGACTACTTTTGTTAAAGAGATATACAATTATTATGTTAAATAAAGCCATGATCAAGGGGATAGTTCTCATTTCAACTCTGGGGTGACAGGACATTGTCTAACTCTTCATTTACCGAATTCTTTTGAATTTGTATGCTCCAATGTGGTCTGTTGTGCATCAATGTATGATGGAAATGTCTTAAAAAAGCCCATGTCATCTACATGAGTTACAAATAGCAAATAGTCAGAAGAATATATATATTATATATATATATATATAAAGATAAATAGCAGAGACTGATACTGACCTCCAAGCTTTTTTCAAATCACATTAAATCAGTCAAGAACATTAAGTGCACACAAACTGACAAACCAGGACACACAGTAAGTCAACTGTAAAACCTGAGACTGCAAACTCCTTAATTTCCTTATTGGAGTACCTCTAATTGTTAAGCAACCTTAAAGAGCAAGTGCAGCGTTATGGAATAGACTATCAGCCAGAAAGGATTGAACATATTTAGATGTCATGCATGTTTCAAATCAGACCAATGTTGAAGTCTGATGAATGCATATATTCATAGAGATTAAATGTGTTTTTCAGGAGATAAAGAATGCCTGTGATATACTGTAGTTATATTGAGGACTAATATATGTTTAAAAAAGATTTGGTAAAGTCATGATAATTAAGATAGGTTGTATATTTTGATTATATCCCCTGGATAAACATGCTTTAAGGCAAATGTAAGGATATTGCATACAAATATTTCCAAAAAAAGTACAAAAGGAGTCAGGCACCCTCCACTGGCCTAACATTGAATCACTACTGACTCTACAATCATCTTCTTTTTTGGTGAGACACAAAATACAGTGAGCTGCATCAGTTGGGAAAAGGCATCATAAACATATTGTTTAATAACAAAATAACATTTAACATGGAGAATCAAAATCAATTTACAGTGTGCTGGCATTGTAATGTAACAATAGAAAAAGACAAAAGGCATGAATAGGACACTTATAATATACAGCAGTGAATTTTGAAAGAGAACAAAAATATTCTTTCCACATGTTGGCCATCTGAAATCCTCATTCAACTCTATAATCATGAATACACACTAAGTAGGAGAGTCCAAGCCTGAATATTTCACGTTCAATTAGACGGTTATAAATGGGCTTGTAAAATAATAGCCTGGCTCTAAATCTTGCAGGGATACAATGATTGATGCATTTGAAAGAATCTACACTGTTAACATGCAGGGTATTCATTTCTGCAGACCATAATGTGAACACAAGACTAATATTAGCATTTCCTTTCTGCAACTGCATTGGCATGTTCCACATGTGACAGTATACATTAGCAGGACTAAAGCCTGGGAGAATGGATTGGATGATGACACGCCGTCAAAATCAAAATAACAAAGGTTATTTTAAAGATGGAGACTAAAACCAACACTTTGGAAAGTAAGCACAATAAACCATTTCCATTGTAAAATTGTATGGGAAAGATCTTTTCTCTAATATACAGCATTTATGCTCAATAATGTGTCAGTTCTATGATGCAATAAATAATGCAATTTGCACAGTTAAACTCTCAAAGGGATTATTAGAAAAAAAAAAGGTTGTTGGAAATTCCTGCATCTTTCTGCTTTTCTGACAAAGTGCAAAATGAATCATAACACAAAGCTTCACATCTGAATTTCAAAGACGTGTTGCAACAAGAGCAGGATTTGGATGATCAAGACCACAAAACACACATGTATATGATTTTGAATAAAGACTTTGTATGATAAACTAATGAAAGATCTGTGAAACTATATCTTTTCAGACAGGAACGTCTTCCCTTTTATCATTCACGCAGGCAACCATAAGCATACATACTGTGCTTCTACTGCAGATAACAATAAATAACCTTTTGAATCACATTCCATTGAGATCATTTAGTATTTGACAGTTCAAACAAACAATCTGCTGTGTGCTGCATATCACAGATCTGCTTTGACAGTAGTGTAATGATCCATGTTGGCATCTTATGGCCCCTTCAGTGTCTCTGTTCACAGAAAACAAAGTCAGGGTTAATATCAGTGCACTTATAGGTTACAGTCGGACTTTACAACAAACAACAATATCCTCACTAGCACTATGGCACGGTTTCATTTAGTGTGTCCATTTTAGATTGTGTATAGCAATGGAGAATGCCCAAGTGCTCTTAATCAATTATAAAAAGGGGGATTTGTGGGTATTTTCAAAGTCTCTAAAGGTGTAATCATGGAGGACAATTTGACCTGTCACAGAAGGAAAGGCACTAATGTAAATAATACAAATATAAGGGGGATAACCACCAACCAAGTTACTTCAAACAATTGGACCAACAGTTGTTGTTGTTGTTGTTGTTGTTGTAATCCTGCTGTCAATGAAGCGGATTCAAAAACATAACCTCTTTGCAATGTTAATGAATAAAGGCTGGTTTAACTTATAGTTATCGAGTGCTTTTCTTTCTATGACAAGTCCAAATATTTGCAGTGAAAAATAAGTCTCAGTAAAAGTGGTTTATAATCTGCTTCCCCGTTTTCACATCCAGCAATCTTAAAGAAAAACCTTATGCATGAATAACTATTGTTACACATTTTACAATCAAAACATTGATTTAGTTCTTGATATACCTTTTTAAAAAGGGAACTACATTTCAGGCCCACACATTTTAAATCAATTTAAGTGTTTCAACCAATTAAAAAGCATTTCCATTATGACATTTTAAGAAAATAAATCTTCAAGCACATCACAAAGTCACAAAGTCCTAATTTTGATTTCAAGCTATCATTTCACTCATTGTTTTCTAGGATCACGGATGTGTTTGAGGACTTTTCTTTCTGGCAATAAAGATATCCTGTCACAACTGCTATTGTGTTATTAGACGTTTATTTGAATGTCTCTGTGGCACTAGAAAGGAAAAAATATTCATTTCATCTTTTGCCATGTAAAATCTGAGGGTAACACTTTACTAAACCTTTTGTTTCACAGCTGAATCACTGCTATGTCCCCTTTGCATTAGAAGACAGTTTTGATCTGGGGTCAAAATAACACTTTGGGATGATTCAACTTAAGTTACCATTTTGACATGACGTCCTTACATGCAGCAAAGTCCTGGGATATGTGACATCTTTAGCCTGCAAGATGAAACCAAATTGGAATAAATACGTATTTTTAAAGAGGGATTCAAGGACAATCAGTGACAACGTTTACATACACAATAATATAGCAAATTGGATAAGGTTCATGTAAATACAATTAGGTCTTAATTTGAATGTAGCTTTTCCCCCACAAAGACATGGGAAATGTCGATATTCAGGTTCAAAATCAACATTTATTTAAAACATGATGAAAGCTTTATATACCAACAGGTTTGACTGAATATGTGCAAATAATCAAAACGCCCATCTTTTCAAGAAGGTGGTTGAAGGATTGAAAGAGGGAGGCTCTGTTTTGAATGGTGTCTGCCATCAATTGAAAAATTTGTAACAATCCTAAACTGACAGCTGCATGTAAATTAGCTATGCAACGGCACTCCAGGAATATTAACTTTTTCCGAAATAAGGGCAAAAAAACGGAATATTTTGTGCATGTAAACGTAGTCAGCTGGTCCAGCCTGTTAGGATTTATCACGCTTTTTTTGCAAACATCCTTCCCCCTTGAATATAAAACACACACAAACGCACATTTGTGGACAGACTCTCACGCCATTTCTTTTCACAAAAAAAGACGACCATGATATCCCACAAGTCCGATGAATGGGAGGTCATAATGCAGCGACTGGTTCTCAGAGGCGACCCATATGGATTTATTTAGCAGAAGCTCCTGGTCTTTATGTGTTGGGAGCGCTTCATTCTGGTGTTTTCAGGAAATATTCATCTCCCCAAACAAGGCAGAGACAAGTCCTCTGACATTACGTGAGGACGAAACGCCTTGAACCACAGCAGCTGATAAGGAGGGAGAGACTGAATCATATTATCCAACCGGTCTCCCTCATACCATTGATCTGTCAATGTGAGAGCAATCCTCTCACATTAAGGTGTGTTGGATGAACACAGATGAATGAATGATTGAATCCAGTGTTGATTACAGAATGAGCTCCATTACCTATTAGCCCGTTTGAACCCAGTGAAGCACTCAGTTCTCACAGTTGGGCCCTGAAGACTCCTCCGTGTCACTGGGCAGGACCCCATTGAGCTCCACAAGGCTGTTTATCCCCAGATACCCCAGTAAAATCTCACTCCGGCGGTGGGAAAGGTTCAGGAGGTCCTCGGCCAGACACTGAGTGGAGGTGAAGCGCACCTTGTCATGATCAAACATGTCCTTCAGGTACTGCACGATTTGTTGCTGCAGAGGGAAGGAGAAATACAACATAAATGTTGAAGCTAACTTTTAAACTTGATTTCAAATGTGGTATTCATCAAGTCAATTAGAAATAAAAAACATGGGACGATAGGCTCCAGTTTGAAAATATTCTTCGACTTTAATACCTAACTAATTTATAAATGAAGTTTAGTTAAGTTGTCATTGTTCTCACCTAGCCTATGAAAACCTTTGTTTGATATCTTATGAAGCTTTGGAGTTTATAATGACACATCTCGACTTTATAGAAGTACAACATTGTGCTTTGTAACATAGGCTTTATGTTACACATCTGAAGGCTTGAGCCCTGAGGATCTCATGTTGTCACAGTAGACATTTTACAAGTGTTTTGCAGGTTTCCATGGTCCTCCTCATGATGAAGAAACAGACCTTTATGTGTTAACTGTGTCTAGTACCAACACTAACTTGCTTTCCAACATCTTGTTAAAACCTCAGCTTCTTGGTTGTGTTTGCTCTCACCTTGAAAATAGTGCACACTTCACTTAGGTGTTGCCTTGGTCCCAAAAAGCCAAAAGCCAAAACTGGGCTCACGTGTTCTGATATGGCATAGAAGTGGGAGATAAAACCATCAGGAACCTATGGAGAGCAGGAAGAACAACTCAACTATTAAATTAAAGAAACAGGTATGCAATAAAACCTTAAATAATCTTTAAATGTGCTCAAACTCACCATTAGAAGACGCCTTTTTGCTTTTAGCACAGACCAGCAAGCAGTTGCTAGGGCCTAATGTGAAAATACATTTATGTTACTTATGTGACGAGAAACTATCTGGTGGCATAAGCAAGGAATTGGTGTGTGTTTGTAAATGTGTGTGTTTAAATTAACCGTTTCTTTAAAGCTGTTAGAGAGCCAGCGGTTCCTCAACACAGCCACCACAGAGGAGGGGGGGCTCTCCAGGTCTTCAAATGCATCCATCAGGATGAAGTCCAGCACAATGTCAAAGAAGTTCATACACACCACCTGCAGAGATTACACCAGTACATTGGGTTAATGTTACTCTACAAGTCAATCAGTCATACTATGTGTTATATACAGTTACATAAATAAGTATGTCTGTTTGATCTACCCAGTTAAAACAAGTCTACAGATTTTAAATCAAAATGTTAACCTGAATTTAACGTATTACTTCTCTTGTTTAAAGAGGCCCTATTATGCTTCTCCCAATAATTCCCACAAATATGTCCTCTTAAAATGGTTATCTGTATGATCCATGTAAAAGAAAATGTACCAAAATAGGAGACCACCTGCAAGTAGAGATTCACTCTCTTCAAAATCTGAATTGGTCAGCAAAATATTTCCTTTAAAACATGTACTCTGCAAATGATTAATGACAAAGAATATGCATTTGACACATTCATAAAGCCTTGAACATACACAAGGCGCGTTCACACCGGAGTACTTTTACCCATACTTTTCCCGTTTAGTTCTGTCTGGAATTTTGCATTCACACCAAAAAGAGAACTTAGTTCCGAGAACTTTTACCCCCATGTTTAGTGCCTGCTAGAGAGGTGGTACTATCCTGGGGAGAAAAAGTACCATTTTGGATTGGCTGGGCGAATTGCAAAACCATGCCAGTAAACCCAAAGCAGAAGAAGAAGAAGTGACGTCAGCGGCTTCATTTGCATAGTCTTCCCTCAGAGAACTTATTCCGGTGTGAACGCGATCTGTACTTAGTTCCATGGGGGTACTAAGTGCTGACACTAAGTGCTGGGCACTAAGGCCCCGGCCACACGAGGACGAAAACGGTCGTTTGCGTTACTGTTTAGTGTCATATAGACCGTTCGGCCACACGAGGGCGACCGAATATGACAGTAAACAACTGCGGAAACGATAACGGGTCCCAAGGTGGATAGAACGGCATACGCAACGCTCTGGGGGGTCCAACGGCTCCGTGTGTGCGCCCTATACGATAATTTTCTGATAATGATGACGCATTAGCCCCGCCTCTCCCCACCTCTGCTGCTCACCCCCGCGTCAAAGTAAACTGCACATTGAATTCAGATTATTTATCTTTCTCTCGATATGGACATAAACGCGAGTGAAGTCTAATCTGACAGGACGGAGACACGCAGCTCTGCTCACCTGCAGCTCCTCCCGCTGTGATGCAGCGGTGAACGGAGCAAAACATACACTTCAAGTCAGATCATCACCCTTACCCCTAGTTTCCACCGGGTCCGCCTGCGGCGCGTTACGGCTGCGCCGCGGTTTTTGGTCTGGCCTCCTCCGGCGTCATACCCTACCGGGTGCGTTTCACAAGCGTTTCAGAAGC